GCGCCGGGGAGCGAGACCACACTCCCCAGAATGCGCCGGGGAGCGAGACCACACTCCCCAGTACGCCGTGAGGGGCGGGACCATCCTGTCCAGACTCCTCACCACTGCATCTGGCTGGAGCTTCAGGTAAGGCGGTGTGGGTCTTGTTACCTGCAGCTGCTACTGGGACCCCGCGCTCGCATGACTGAATAACAGCCGCTTAAGCTCTTGGAGAAATTGTGAAAAATCAGAAAGTAAAATCGAACTAACTTTCAGGGACATGAGAAGGGTGGTTTAGGTGAGCACTAATTTATAAGGTCCTTGTAATTTTAACTTACTTAAAAAGAAAAAAAGAAGTTAGTTACCTGGATGTTTTCTTGTTGTCCATCCTATAAATTCACCCCTGTATTTTTACACCCCTGGGTTTTAAATGACAGCATGTATGAATGTGCTTACAAGTACATTTTATTAAAAAATGCCAAAAATACCGTGGTGGATTTTTTTTTTGTTTTTGTTTTTTCAAAGAAGAAGATTTTGAAGTTCGTTTTGTTTTGTTTTGTTTTTAAACCAGTTCGGATCCCCCAGCCACCGATATATATATATATCTCCCAAATGATCACAAGAAGAAAAATGAGGGAAAAGGCATTTAAAGATATTTAAAGGTACAATAATTAAAATTACAGGTACAAAAATCGTTTATTGGATGTAACAGAATCGAAAGCCCAGAAACATACCAAACTTTGCAGAGACACACACTGTTTTTCTAGGAATTGACAAAAGTGGTATTTTCAAATTACTTCCTATTTGCTTCTCCTCAAAATGAAGTAATAGGGACCAGATTTAGCCTTTTACCTAAATCAGCTTTTAAAGGGACAAAATATATGAAACAACAGATTTGAAGACAATGCAGGGCCGTGATATCAGAGATGTGGGTAATGAATGAGGTGAGCCCTTGAACTTCTTTGGGGACAGCATTTTGGGGTCACAGAACAGAGAAGGGTGGAGTTCAACTTGAGTTGAGGAGATGGAGCTGGGAATTTGGGGAGCCCAAGGCAGCTAGAATTCACAGGGCAGAGTACAGAAAAGGAGGGAGAACTCCAGGGATGTGCACAGGGTCCTCTTCCTCAGGTATCAAATGAGTGCTGACCAACGTGTGCATGTGAGGAAACACCCAGCATCAGGGGTAAACCCACTGAAAAGCATTAGAGGGAAATATGAGCTCACAAAGGGACAGGAATAGCGCCTATTCCCACAGAGTACATATCTCATAATTTACACAACATCAAGTACTCAAAAGGGTTTTGCCTCAGTAGTGGGACAAAATTAGGCCTAAAAGCTTCTCTGGTCTCACCTAAGAGAGCTTAAAACCAAGCCTAGAAAAGATCAAGTTTTCCACAAATAACTGCACCCCAGAAAAAAAAGGAAAAGCTTAAGAATAGTTGAAGGAATACAAAATGAGCACCCAATAAGGGAAAACTCAGGATTTCAGAATTCCAATGAAAAAAATGCCAGGGTGCAAAGAAGCAGGAATATGTTGCTCAAATGAGGAGAAAAGTCAATCAATAGAAATGACCCAGAAATGGCACAGAAGATATAATTAGATGAGGACACTAAAACATTTAGTATAATTACAATCCATATGTTCAACAAGTTACAGGAAAGATTGAACATGTAAGTAGAGCTATAGAAGATACAAAAAAGACTGAAATTGAACTTCTAGAAGTGGAAACTATAATGTCTGAGTTGAAAATTACACTGGATGGTATTGTGGTTAATTTTATGTACCAACTCGGCTAGGGTATGGTGACCAGTTGTTTGGTCAAATACTAGACTAGATGTTGCTGAAGATATTTTATAGATGTGGTTAACATTTTCAGTTGGATAACTTTAAAGGAGATTACTTTCCATAATTTGGGTGGGTTTCATCTAATCAGTTGAAGGCCTTAAGAGCAAAATCTGAGGTTTCCAGAAGAAGAAGGAATTCTACCTCAAGACTGTAACAGAAATCTTGTGTGAGTTCCCAGCCTGCTGTCTTGCCCTATGAATTTTAGGCCCTAGACTGCAACATCAACTTTCATCTAAATTTCCAGCCTGCCTGCCAGCCCTACAGATTTCAGACTTTACAGCCCCCATAATTGCATGAGCCAATTCCTTAAATCAATCTCTCTCTCTCAGTCTCCCTCTCTCTATCTCTATCTATATCTATGTACATATAGATATATATAGGAAATAGATATAAGTGCTAGGAGATATATACATATATATCTCCTATTGGTTTTGTTTCTCTGGAAGACCTTGACTAATATAGTTGGTATTCCAGCAGATTAGACGTTTCAGAAAAAAAGATTAGTGAACATAAAGATATAGATGGGGAAATTATGCAAAGTGAAACAGAGAGAAAAAAATACTAAAATGAAAATTATTATTACTATTATTATTAAAATTATAAACCCACAGATCAAAGCAGATGAGTAAAGCCCAAGCAAAATAAACACGAAGAAAACAACACCAAGGTACAACTACTTAACACCAGTCATAAGGAAATTGCTTAAAAAAACAGAGAAAAGGTACATATTATGTGCAGAGGAAAAAAGATAAGGATGACTGCATATTTATTGCTGGAAAAAATGTAAGCCAGGAGCAACATCTCTAAAGCACTGAAAGAAAATATGTCAACCTAGAATTCTTTACCCAGTGAAAGACAAAGAGAAAAATAAAGATACAAAATACAAAAACTGAAATAATTTATTATCAACAGGCCTGTACTATAAAACATGTTAAAGGATGTCCTTCAACCAGAAGGAAGAGCATACCAGATGGAAATAGGGATATGCACAAAGAAATGAGGAGCACTAGAAAGTATAAGTAAAGGCTGTGTTTCTATTCAAATCTCTTTAACACATATCAACTATTTAAAGGAATAAGAATGCATTCTGATGTTATATATGGAAGTAAAATGTATAACAATGATACTACAAAGGCCAGGGGAGAAATGGAAATACATTGTTGTAAGGTTCTTCTATGTTATGTAAATGGTATAATATCAC